CTAACTTTAATAAAAAACTTTAGCTAGTTTATGGGCTCGGGTTAATATTAAAATAAGGATAAATTAATATTATTTTATATAATAATTTATTATTATAAAAATAATATTAATATATTATTTTTAGTATATAGTAGGTAGTAGGCTAATAATAAAATTTATGCTAACTTTAAAAAAAGGGTAATTTTATTTTAGTAAGGTAAATAATTTTTTATAAGGTTAGTATTAAGGTGCTATAATATATTAGCATGTAAGGCATAAATAAGTAAAAGTTTTTATTATAATTTTTATTTTTAATTAAAAGAACTTTTATTTTACTAAAAATTTAATTTTTTATAAACTAAAATATCCTATTAAAAAATTATTATAATATACTTAAATAATTATAGTTTTAAGCCTTTAATTTAGTAAAATATAAATTTAATTTTAAAAAGCTAGTAAATTACTTTTTATAATTAACTAGTTTTTAAAACTTAATTTTTTAGCTTTTTTAGCCTAATTTTTTGCTTTTAAGGCTTTAATTTGCTTTTAAGTTTAATTATTTATAAATTATAATACTAAAAGTAACTTTATTAAATAATTTAATATATAATTAAAGTAAATATTTTTAATTAATATAGTATTTTAGATTTAACACTAGCCTAAAACCTGATTTTTTTTAAGGTTAAATTATATATTTATAATATTATAGTTTTTAAAATCAAGATTTAACTTTATTTTATCCTAAAAATAAAAAAAAAATTTAAAAATATTAAAGCACTTGTTGCACTTAATACTTTAAATTTAAATATTTTATTTTTTATTTAAATTAAGCTTTTTTTTATAAAGACTTTATATTAAGTTTAGGTAAATAATTATTTATACTTTAATACCTTATATTATTTACTTTATTACTAAATTATTATTAATTTATTATTATATAAATATACATGGCTTGGATAATTATAATAAAAAAAATAATTAAATATTTAACTTTAGTTTACTTTATTTTTATATAAGGCTATTTAAATATTTTTATAATACCCCTAAAATTAGTAACTTTAATAGGTACTTTTTATACTTTTTTTAAATTATCTTGCTAACTATTATATTTTTTTAAAATAAAATAAAAAAATTTTACTTAATTTAAATAAGCATGCTTAATAAATTTTATACTTATTATATTTATTTTTACTTTAATATTTAAGTTTATTTTAGTTTTAATCTTGTCCCGCGGAGCTTTTACTATTATTTTTATTTAAAAATACTTACTTATTTTTATTTTTAAATATTAAGCTAGGGCATAAGACTTTATTTTAACTTTTTTTTATTTTTTTTTTATATATTTTATTTTTATTTTAATTTATATACTTACCTTTTTACTAATTATCTTGCTTTTTTTTATAATATTCTTTATTTTAAGGGTTTTTAACTACTATTTTATAAACTTTGGTAGTTTAATTAAGATTTACTAGCTAAAAGTTAGGGTTTTATAATAATTTTATATAATTAAGTATAATATAACCAGGTTTTCCGCACTTAAAATATATTATAAAAATTAATTTTAATTAATCCTAATTTTATATTATTTTAGTATAACTTTAAAAGGGTTTTATTATACTAGGAGTTTATTTTACAGGTATTTTATTATAACTTTTTTTAAAAGTTTATTTTATAAAATAATTTTTTTTTTAGGTTTTTTTACCACGGGTGAATTTATGTTAATTTTTTTTTAAATTAGTAGTATTTTTTTTATTTAGTGGATTTTAATTATTTATTATAATATAAGGTAATACAAGGTTGCAAATATAATATATAAAACTAATATTATAAAATAAATTAAACTAGATATTTTTTAGTATTTAGGAGTTTTGTATTATTAAAATTATAAATTTTATTTTAAAATAAAGGTAAAAGCTTACTAAAATAATATTAAATTTATATTTTTTTATTATTTTTTAAAAAATATTATTTTAATATAGTTAAATAATTAGTAAAATCCCTAGGATTTTAATCTTTTTTTTAACAAGCTAACTTTAGTTTAACTATAGTATTTAATAAATTAATTATTAAACTTCTTAAAATTATAGCTATTTATTTTTTAAAGTATTTTTAAAAAAATTCTTAATATTCCTTATTTATACCCTTTAATTTATTAGCATGTTAAATTTAGTTACTTTTATATACTAATTTTATTATAATTAAAGCTTTTAAAATTTATTATTAATTTAATTTATATTTTTTAGGTACTTTTTTAAAATTTAATTTTAAAGTACTAAGCTAGTTAAAATATTATTATAAGCTAAAATTAAAATTATACTTAGGTATATTTTTATTTTTAATCTTATTATAATTATTTAGTAAATTATTTTAATATTAATATTATTTTAAAGGTGTATTACATTTAGCTAATTAATTTTTTAAATATTTAATATACCTTTTTATATTTTATAATTATTAAGTTACTAGTATTTTATAAATATTTTAATAATTTTTTATAGTAGTACTTTTAATAGTTTTAATAATAAAAAATTATTAAGTATTAAAAAATTCTTTTTTAAAATTATTAAAATAATTTTATTTAAAAATAAGGCGTGAGTATACTAGTAGCATAGTATATATTTTATAAGTAATTAATAAATAAAAAAGTTAAAATTATAAAAACCTTAAGTAGGCTAACTAAGTATAAAATAAAGTATTAAAAGGGTTATTTAATAAAAAATTAATATTAAATTTTAAGGCCTAAAATATATAAAAACTAACTTTTAACTAACTATTTTTTACTGGGGCGTTAGCCTTAAATATACTATTAAAATAGTAGTAATATTATTACTATATAACAGGTTAATATTACCATAACTCTTATTTTATTAATTTCCTTATCTTATCGGGGCTTGGCACCCGTGGGTGTGATAATTTATTTACTTTTATTAAAAATCCCCGCGCCCTAGTATTATAAAAATTATTTAACTTAATATTAAATAATCTTATTTTTTTTATTTTACTATATTTTTTTTTTATTTTATACTTTTTTTTAATATAACTAACTTTAGCCTATATATTTTTTTTATAAATAAAACTAGCCCCTATATTTTATAATATTTAAATTATTAAGTATATAATAAATAACACTTGCTAGTAATTATATATTAAAATAATAAATAAAAAATAAGTATTTAGCCTATAAGCTTTAGTAAAAGTTACCCTTTAAAATAAAAAGCCTTTTATATATAAACTATTTAAATAAGCTATTTACCCTGCGGCGGCACGCCCTTATACCCTAAGAAAGGTTTAAAATATTAGGCGTACGCCTAGCGATCCCCAGGGCGTTAAATATCACTACTACTACTACTACTACCATCCTCAACACCCCGGCCATCAAGCCCAAGTCGGCCTCACTATCTAATCACACGTACATTGAACTTTGTACTGTCCAAGCTATATTGAACATGATTATCAAGTTGGTGATAGTTTGTCTCAGCAGAGGCATCCTTTCGTACCTTTGGAGTGCATGTCTCTTGAGCACAACTCAAGTTTGCCGTTGAGGTGGCCTTACCTAGTTCTAATCCCACTCATATCTGATACCTAATCGGGTCACCTAAGGCTCGTGAGGTCTACCTGCGGTCAGAATGTTCTTTGCCTGAACACAACAAACCAATGAACAATATCAAAGACAATACGGTCGTCAATGCGAAGAAAGCTAGCTAGGGTAATAGGATTCTCTCGTACACACCATTTGACCAAATGTTCCTAGACAAATAGATGCATGACAAGACCTTCCCACGTAATTGCCAACTGTTAATACAATGCAGTTATATATGTATCGAGGCCTATATATCATCCCTGTATGGGTTCAAAGCAACTTGACCAATAACAAACTACAGGTTTGATGAGACTATCATAAGATTCGGTGGATTTATAATAGAATTACGATATCCCCCCTGAGGGATTGACTCTTGATACCGATCAATCAAACGCCCATAGAATTTACTAGCAGACTTGAATGCGAGCGATGGTGGGGTAGTCAAACAGAGGCACTTTGCACGTCTCAATGTCTGCGAGATCCAACCACACAGAGGAGCAAAGCCAGTTCAAGTTCGTTTGTGTTTGTTTCTTTTGATACATGGGTTTGTGTCCCCTGTGTCTCCATACGTTTATAGGATTGCACATATGAATTCAATAATGCGCTCTTACACATCCACTGTTGTTTCAACGCTTGATGCCTCGGGGCCATGGCTTATCTGAAGGTCTTGACATGATTGCCATCCCGCAGTTGGCTGTCCCGCGAACATGCTAAAGCTAGTATATTACTATACTAAAATTAAGTAAATATATTACCGTAATATATTTATTTTTTAGCTATATTAAAGTATATATACCTAGTTTTTACTAAGGGTGGTAATAAAAGCTTGGCCGGGTAGTAATAGTAAGGTAATATATTAAGTTAATAATATATATTTAAAATATATACTATAATAGTTATAAATAGTAAATTTAGCTTAAATAGGGTAATATTATAGTATTTTTATAATAAATTTTTATTTTTATATATATTACACCTAGCTCTAGTATATTATTACTAGGTGTTTATACTTTAGTATATTAGCAAACCAGCTAATTGCGGGATGGTGTCCTAAGTCATACCTGGTAGCTTGATGCAACCTACCTCACTACAGCATTGCGGCCTAAGTAGGTAGGTCATTTCTTAGCCACTCGTCCTTCTTCATTCCATGTTGTTATTGTTGAGCCCTCGTTGTGCTCCGTGATCTGTCACATTTCCACTCCCAAGGTTTCTCCGTTGGTTAGCAACGCACCTGCCAATGCAATATAATAGTTCTCCCTAAATCTGATAATGTCTCTCCAGGATATTAGTACGGCCCGAATACTAGCGTACTGAGTAAGATGTGCCACGGTAATTGACTTGATATGCTACATGGACGCTGCTATAGCCCCGCGATGCATGTATTCTTTCAGTCAACCAGAAACATCTCTTGGGATATCTCTGCTCCATACCATCATCTTCTCTACTGCCCAACATCCAAACTCAGGGGCCAATGCTCCTCCCCCTCAACATCAACCGTCTCCTCCCACGGGACAAACCCAACCCGCTCATACAGCTTTTTTGCCCTTTCATTCTCGCGCCCGACCAAGACGACAAGCGTCGCATCCACTTTCTTCCCCTTCGCCTCCTCCCTGACTGTACCTGTCGCAGCCTCCAGCAGGCTTCGCCCATGTCCTACTCCGCGTTTCTCGGGGAGGACATACATGCCCAAGAGAACATACACGACTTTCGAACCAGGCGGGATGCCCTGGGCGTCAGTAGCTGCCTGCTCGAAGTCGAGGCCCTTGAAAAGTTCCCACGGCGCAGAGTTGGCCTTTTCGCCGTCGGTGGGCAGGACAACGGGACCCATGAGCGTGACTTGGCCGAGCCAGCGCCGATCAATCAAGATTTGCTCGATGCTGTGACTGCCATTATCTTCATTCGATTCAGGACGGATATTTGCGGATGTGGCGGAAGGCGACAAGGCGATATAGATTCTTGTCAGTGGATTGAACGCTCTGTTCGTCCATGTGTCTTCGTTGAACTGGATTTCGCGGGCGTAGGTGGACGTGAATGCCGAGGGACTGCGTTTGAGAGCTGTGAGGCGGAGTGTTTTGGATTTGTTTACTATAGTTGAGATAGCTTCGGCTGATGATAAGTGTTCTCGCTTTGGGATTGCAAGCACCACTGGTTTCTGGTCCTGCGTGGCCATTGTCGGGGCGGGTTGCGTGAGAGTTCGGTCCGGGGGAGGGGGGGGTGTCAGAGAGAGGAAAATGAATACGAGGTGCCTCACCTGACAATAAATTGAATAAAGAAAGTCAAATGACTTATACCTATCCCACAGAAGCTTATCCTATCAATGCTAACACCATAATGCAACGCAATTGCAATCATCCGTATAGCTAAGGGTTAGGGCTAAACCTCTACATCATCCCCCTCCCTCCACGCCCTCAAGAGTCTCTCGACGCCCCTCCTCAACGGCCACGCACGCATATCCTTCGTCCTCTCTATAACCCCCAGCAGCGCGTCTCTTTCCCCCTGGTCCGTAAAATACTCCCCGTACAACATGATTGAAATCACGGCGTTCACGAGCGCCGGCATCCGTTTTGAGACGTCATCAACTGCGATCCCGCACAGATCAAGCACGATGGACCGGACGAGGGCTTCGGTTTTACGATGTACGGTGCGACTTGCTTCCCTGTCATGCCCATGTTGTTAGTGGTAAACGCCTGGAGAATAAATAGAATGGGTTAAGACCGTACACTATCCGCGGATTCTCAGCAATCAATATCATCCGCGCCATTTCGAGATGCTGCACGCCTGTTACCTGTGCGTCTGTCGTATACCAAACTGTCGGGAAAATCTCGCCTTTCGATCTGTCGGCGGGCTTTTGCAGGATCGGGGCTAGGTGGGGTGTGTACATGGTTGTCAGGTGTTGCTGGTGAGCCTTCAGGCGGTCTGTCGCGAGCCTTTGCATTAGTTTTTTTTGTCCAGGGTTCAAAGATAATGGTAAAGGAGCTGGATGGCGTTTACCGTACTCATCCACCGTCCGTTCTCCCCAGCACCACTTCGTCACCTCGCCCGCATGCATGATCATCGTATTCGCAACGGTCGCGCTCTCCCAGTCCTCCACGGTGAATGTCACAGCTGGTGCACGTTTTCGTGTAAGTGCATAGTACACTTCCTGGCGGATGGCAATCCAGTATGCGGCGACTGCAAGCGAGGACCGCTGCACTGGCGACGAGGACGAGATCATGGCGTGGATGATCGTCTGCGTGATGGCGAGGAAGTTTACCCTTTTTCCAGCTTGCTTTGGGTTCATGCCCCTCCCACTCCCATTTTCATTCCCAGGGTTGACGCGGTCCTCTGTATCAGGGCTGATAGCGCCGGGTTCTGGCGTGATCTCGTCCATCTCCTCCTCCATCTCCTCATACTGCCGTAGGATGATCGCCGCGCACATGAGATTCTCCTGTTCGCTGGGATCGCTTTCGTGGAACGACGAGAGCCCGGGTATACAGTTTAGCATGTATTCCACCGCCGACGACGTCGTCAAGTCCGGGAGGGACTGCCCGTGGTAGACGATTATGCCTTCGGGCGTTTTGTACTGAGGGAGCCGGCTCAGGTGCCGCGAGGAGACGGCGAATATGGCGTTGAGAAGAGTTTGACATTGGCTGGACTGGGCTCGGAGGGGGACAATCTGCCGGAAGTGTGATTGGGGGTCGCAGTGGTCGAACTGAGAGGTAGAGTTAGGGTTAGTCGCGCGGAGGGGAACGGTTAGGGTTTAGGTACCATACCCAAGGCGAGAGTTCCTCGATAAAGTAGCGGAGAAGGCAGGATTCTTGGACTGTCGCTAGTCGTTGACTGGCTGCAGGTGAGGGAAGACTCGAGACTGACTGGTGCGATGATGCTGCTGGGGAGACGTGGTTGAGGGAATGCGGGCTCCCATGGCTTGACTGGATGATTCCTCCTGACAGCGACACTGAGGCGGGCGAAGCATGTGAGGCCTGAACATCGACTGCTGCATTGACAAGGGTATTCAGCCTGGTAAGAGCTCCAAGGTCTGGTACAGCGTGAGCACGCGCTTGACCACCGCTGTCACCGACCTGGGTTATGCCATTGAAATGCGAAGCATCCGGTGCAGTAGAGCCATTCGATACTGTCACGGTCTCATCGAAGCCCAACCGTTTCGGGCTTATAATGGTGTCCGTCCCCTCAACAGATTCCGTCACTGTGTCTCTCTCCCCAGCAATCCTCCTCCACTTCTTCGGCTGACTATTCACCCACGTCTGATCCGCTGCAAAGCCATTACCCCGGAGATCTTGACCACCACGCCGGAAAACAGCCTTGCGTTCTACAGGGACGCATTCCAGGTTTCGAGAGTGACACCGGCCGCATCTCGGCTTCTGTTTGTCGCCTGTTCATGCATACCGTCAGACCTGGTAGTCGATTTATGGCCCAGTAGAGGAGGCTCACGGACATTTTATGTGCCGCTCTGCGGTAGGTGGCTGTTAGTGGGCTCCGAGAATCTAGAACTGCATGAGCTTGCAGGGCGTATTGGGGTTGAGACCTACCACGGCATTTTGAACACGGGGGATTCGGCGCTGTCATACTCAACTAGGCTATGGGTGTATGTGCAGGAAGAGATACATGGCCTCCGCGTCTTGCCCAGAGAGGTCCAAGGGATATGTCGAGCGGCGCAAGTTTCCCTGAATGGGCTCTTTCAATTGCGGGGTAAAGTGTGGGGTTGGAGACTACTACTCGGTTTGTTAAGGATAAGGCAGATGGTCCTCAAGTAGAATAGGAACTGTTGTACAAGAGGAAAGAACGTGATTACAGTTGTTCTCAACATAATTGTCCCAATGTGCACAGGGCCATCTATCTTATGGCGATAGGCACCATGGCTGGGTGAGCATTGAGAAGCTGGTCAAGGGGATTATTTACCTCAATAAAAGAATGTTTTTCCAACGACTGGCCGAGTGGCCTAGTGGTAAGGCGTCGCTTTCCGGTTCTTGGACCACGGCGAAGATCGGGTGTTCGAATCGCTCCTCGGTCGTTTTTTTCTTCTTCCACATATACTATCTACAAACAAGTGTGTTTTTTTTTGTTGTTTTTTTGCTTTCTAACCTTGGATATCAACCGCTGAATCATTTAATAGGGAGATGGATGGGACGCGTTGACAGTTGCCAACGGCGTATGAAACAGTGCCTATGGTAGGTATCCTATATGTAGGGTGGCTGCCACCCAGCCCTAACCTCGCAATGTCGCTCGCTCCCCTCAGGTGGTTCAATACAAAAAACACCCTGTGGATAGCCAGCACATGATCATCCACAGGTTGCTATGTCGAAGATTCTACGGTCATGTTTTTCTCTATTCGCTGAGGAACCCGTCCGTGCTCAGTGGCTCAGTGATATTCAAATACGCATACGTTCCCGTCAGAATATGGTAGTACCCAACCTCAGTATCCATCATTCCCTTCGTCTTCGTATGCGTACCCGGATGACGATATATCAAGGGTATATGTCTACATCTAAACGGCCTGGAGTGCCCATAGCCAAGTTTTATCGGGGTCTGAATATATATATAAAGCCAGGTCCAACACTGAACCACAACACCACAGACATCAACAAGAACAAAAACAACCAACCGCTACACTATTCTCTCAGAGTCCCAAACATGGCATCCCTCCTCTTCCTGACAGCCCTGTCACTCCTAAGCCACTCGTCCATAGCGGCGCCGGCCCCAGTTTCCAGCGGAACCCCAAACACCACAACCCGTTCCTGCGTCGACCTAGCCCTCTCCCTCCCCATCAAAGCAAACAACTCCATCTACGACATCCCCCGCGTCGACAACAACATCGACGCCGTCGACTTCGTCTGGGACCTGGACCACTGGTCCGCCCCCAACGCCACCGAGCGCATCAGGGGCCCAAAGCCCGTGGACCAAACCTTCACGATCAGCGCCCAGCTCTGCGTCCCGCAGGCTCCGAACGCAGAGAAAGCGGATATCCTGCAGATTGCGACGCATGGGTTTGGGTTTGATAAGAGGTACCCCCCTCCCTCTCCCCTCCAAGTACCACTCGACGGTACCCTTCGTCTAGACGAAGCTGATAGAAGAAAATAGGTACTGGGACGCCGGCCTCCAACCGGAAAAATACTCCTACGTCGACGCTGCCCTAGCAGCAGGCTACTCAATCCTCACCTATGACCGGCTGGGCGTCGGATCGTCCGACAAGCCCGACGCGTACGAAATCGTGCAGGTCCCCGTGCAAGTCGAGATCCTCGCTGCGATCGCGGGTCTCGCGCGCCGTGGGACCCTCGCTACCCAGGCAAAGGCCAAGGCATCATTCACCGTCCCGACGTTCACCAAGACCGTGCTCGTCGGCCACTCGTTTGGCTCGGGGCTTACGATCTCCATGCTGGCGCACTACCCGCATCTCGTCGACGGCGCCGTGGCCACGGGGTTAATCCCCAACACGCAGGTCGGGGCCGCAGGGCAGCGCGCCTTCGGGCTCGAGTATGCGGCGGCGAGTAACCCGTCTCGGTTCCACGACCGCGGCAGCGGGTACCTTGTTCAGGGGACGGTCAGCGCGCTGCAGCAGGTGTTCTTTAAGAAGGGGTTCTTTGAGCCGCGGGTTCTGGAGTACGCGGATAGCATCAAGGAGACTGGGACGGCGGGGGAGTTTGTGAGTTTTGGGTCGGCGCTTGAGAGGCCGGCGGGGGGGTACCGGGGCCCGATATTGTTCGCGCTTGCGGAGTATGATTTTGGGACGTGCTTGGGGGATTGTAAGGGGACGTATGATGTTTCCGAGATCAGGAGGGGGTTGTTCCCGGGTGCTGCTGATGTGGGCGTGCATGTTCAGCCCGGGAGTGGGCATACGCTTACACTGCATGGCAATGCGACGGGACATTATGAGGCGGTGTTTGCGTATTTGCGGGAGTGGGGGTTGTAGGCTGGACCTGGCTGTGGTGAGGCGATGACATGGGGTGAGGTGAGGAAAGGCAATTGAAGTCTGTTGGGCAGGTGCAGCTGCGCAGGGGAACGACTGAGATGAGGCGGACTGGACGGATGGGATCGAGTGAGGCTGAGAGGGAGGTGTGACCAAGGTGGATGTACAGAGTACAGCAGAGACAAACATGAACCTATGCAGGACGCGAATTAACGGTGTGCATGGTGGTACTTGTACTCTGCCCTGCGTCATTTCATCTATATGATACCCTTGGCCTGATCACAACCTATCGCATCCCCCAGCACTACTCCTTCGATAAATGAGAGTATAAGCCATCGGGTAGGCATACATGTTTGTCTGCAGGTACGAGTCAACAGTGGCTGGCCTTGTTCAAGAAGGCTCATTGCTGCATCGTATTTGCGGTTCTATCAGCAGGCTGGATCAAACAATCACGACGCCACAATGAATGCTGGTACACAAACAGAGTATGAGGCACTCCTGAGGCAATGATTTGAGATTTCCAATTACCAAGCATAAACAACCCCTGTAAACGCCCTCTGCCTCACTGACTCCGTCTAGGTCACACGTATCGGCCAGACATGTCAGATTAGCATATTCTCCGGCATACTCGGGGTCCAACGTGGGTCACCCGGGGCCGAAAACAAAGCACTGCAGAGTCGGAAATATGCTGACTGCAGATTATCGGCGTTTTTTGCCGGTCGCACTGCTTACCTCTACTCGCATCCAAGTTCCTTCCCACAATATCAGCCATTGAGTACTTACTGGCGGCAAACTTTCCGCGATATACTCCGCTATGGTGACTATTGGGTACCATGCTTACGCTTCCGATTGCCTTTCGCTCGCTGACCCAGCCTAGTACTCATACTGGATGACGGAATCGCCCGCGATACCTGGGTGGGACTCGTCACTCGGAGTAGCCGTATAGCGTCAACCATGCGAGCTGGTGTCCCGCAGGCTGCGAGAATTTGAGATTGACATAGCTCAGTTCTTACTGCAGGTTCGGCAGGTCTCTTATTGCTTTGAGCAGGCCTTAAATGCTGATTCGCAGCGGCTGGTCAGGACCCAGGTGGCGGTTGGTGGTACTTGTGCGCCGGGCGCAGATGCATGGCGGGTGGAGAGTAGGAGGCCATGGGGTCCGTGGGGGGGTCACTTGAAGAGTTGAAGGGATATTTCTTTTGCTTACGAGAGCCCAATCCTCCTTGCAGCCGAGCAAGACTCTGCATGTAGGTCAGCTGCAAGTGACTGCCTGCAGGTCACATGACTTGATACGTACCCTACTCTAGGGCTCGGCCTCCACCAAGAGGCTGGCAAGGCTACGGCGTAGATTCTAGGCCATCGGAAAATGATCTGGATCAGGGACTGGGCAAGGCTCAGTATATAGTCGGCATCGGACACCTGATCAAATCGACTTCGAAGTCGATTCCCTCATTCTGCACCCGACCGGTCCATCGGACCCCGAGCAGGGATACGAACCAATGCAGGCGTCCATGCTCAGCTGAGGGTGCATTGACAGCACACTTCGAAACTCATCGTGTTCTGGACCCGCAAGCCTCAGCTGTCGCTACAGCTTACCAGATTTTCCGATTCGCCCAAAAGCAGATGGCTTGAGCCTCGCTTGGTTATCCCTGTCATCCTCTCATAAAGCAGGTGAAGGGCTTCTCCAGGACGGCAGGGCCAGAGCAATCGATAAATTGCCACACGGGCAGTTATGCCGAGCCAGTCGGCAAGGTAGCCCGCCCCATGCATGCGCTGCAGCCTGACTGGAGATAATTCAACCACCCCGATCTTAGACGATGTGCCCAGGCTACTCCGTAATCTTGCTGCATACAGCATCCGTGCACTTGTGAAATACCCCAAACGTTCGCAGCCTGCCCTATATAGCTGCCAATCGCTGTCGGCCCGAAACTCTTTTCCATTGTCTCGGTCACGACCAGAGCGGGACATCTACTCACCTACTCGAACCTGAAGCTCGCCCTCGGTATCCTCGTATCGAGAAGCAGAGCTTACTCCAGAGCATGACTGGTCACAACCCTTGTACTCTGAGCCAGGATCATCCCAGTCAGTGCAGCAAATACGAGCCCCGACCTCGGGGCGGGCAAACACCAACGCCAACTCGAGCAAGACAGACCCAGCGTATGTATAGGGCAGCCTGCTGAAAGAATACGCAGTAGTCCACGAGAACATCGTCCTTGGCAGTCAACATCGCCACGCCTCCGCATCTGCCTCTATTTTTAGTCAGGCCCGGGATGCTGTAAGGGTGGTGTTTTTTCCCGGGCGTGTGGATATATAACCCTACTGACCTCCAATTAACTGGTCATTACCTTCAATACATCACCCAAGCAACACTGCAAGCCTCACGATGAGTCGCAGCGCAATGCAGCCCTTCGCAATGGTCTCGCTGCTGCTTCTGTCCCTGTTCCTCGCGTTCAAACCCACCCTCTCCGCCTCCACACCCTCGCGCCAATGTCGCTGCCGTCCCAACGATCGCTGCTGGCCCTCCGAGCAAGACTGGAACGCCTTCAATCGCAGTATTAACGGCAACCTCATCCACCTCCGCCCCGTCGGCGCCGCCTGCCACGGCACAGAATACGACGCGGCCGAATGCGCCGATGCACAGGCAAACACGATGAACTCGTACTGGCGGGCTGCTGAGCCAGGTACGCCTGCCCAGTGTTAAGGTCTGACACAGCTAACATTGCGGCGCGCAGGAGCCCTCCAAACAACCAACTGGGAAAGCACCGGCGAAGGCGCAACCGACTGCGACATCAACACCCCACGCAACACGCCCTGCCGACAAGGCCGGATCCCGCTGTACGCAGTGCTCGCCGAAACAACCGAGGAGATCCAGACAGCCGTGCGCTTCGCCAAGCGCCGCAACCTCCGCGTCGTGATCAAGAACACCGGGCACGGTGGGCTGGGCGTCTCCGCGGCGCCGGACTCCCTGCAGATCAACACGGGCCGGTTCAAGCGCATCGAGACCGTCGACGACTTTGTCCCGGATAAGGGCAAGGAATCCGTTGGCCGGGTCGTGACGATCGGCGCGGGCGTCCAGATCCACGAGCTTACGGACGCTGGGGTCAGGGACGGCTTCACGTCCATCATGGGCATCTGCGATACGATTGGGATTGCGGGCGGGTATATCCAGGGTGGCGGGTTGGGACTGCTGGCGTCGGCGTTCGGAATGGCCTCTGACAACGCGGTCGAGTATAATGTTGTCACGGCGGATGTGAGTCCCCTACGCACCCCTATTAAGCCCCCACAGCTAACGCTGGCAAAGGGCGACCTCGTCGTCGCCAACGCCTTCCAAAACAAAGACCTCTTCTGGGCCCTCCGCGGCGGCGGCGGCGGCACCTTCGGGATCGCAGTCAACACGACCGTGCGCGCCCTGCCCGACCTCAAGGGCGTCGTCCTGCGCATCGACGCCATCGGGTCCCGAGAAACAATCTTCGAGATAGCAAAGTACATCGTCCGCGCCTTCCCGGCCATCAAACGCGGCGACGAGTCCGGCAAAACAAGCGGGTACGTGCTGGCCTCGACGCAAGCCAACAGCTCCTTCATCCAAAGCGAGACGGTGATCCCCAACGTCGACGCCCTCCCGCCCTCCCAGCGCGCCGAAATCACCAAGCTCACCAACGCCCTCAACGCCGCCGGGTTCTCGCAGTCCTACACCGCAAACATCACAGCGTACCCGCACCTCTCCGCCTTCTTCAACGCCGTCCAGCCCGTCCCGCCCTACGGCCGCATCGAGGGCTCCGTCCTGTTCTCCGAGAAATTCTACCACACCACGTCCGGCGCCGCACGCATCACCGACACCGTCCTCAACCAGACGTACGGGCCCGGCGACACAATCGAGTTCTTCATGACGGGCGGCGGCCAGCTAGCCGACAACCGGGCCCTCGACACGGCGCTGAGCCCGCGGTGGCGCGACGTGGGGCTGTATGTGTCGGCGCGGCGGGCGGTGCCTGCGAGCTCGGCGGCGAAGCGGTTTGGGGCCGACAGTCCGATGACGGATATTCGGGCGGTTGAGCGGCCGGGCTTGGGGTCTTATGCGAATGTGGCGGACTGGGATGAGCCGGAGTGGCCGGAGGCGTTCTGGGATCGGAATTACGGACGGCTGCAGAGGGTGAAGAGGGCTTGGGATAGGGATGGGCTCTTTGTGGTGACGCTCGGGGTTGGCAGTGAGGAGTGGGATCAGGAGCAGATGTGTCGGGTGAGATAGGCAGGTCCAGCACAGCCAGGCACGGGACGGAGTACAGGCACGGGGTATATACGTTGTCTGTTTATAGTCGGTGTTATCAAAATGTCTTCTGCACCTCTGCTCATTACCATTACCGTGATCCCGTTGAACTATTGCAGTTGACATTCTCCCTAGGATGTATGTTGGCTAACACCACCCAAGTCGACAAGCTGAAAAATACGAGAACCACACTAGTTGCACGATTTCCAACAGTCTCAAGTTCGACAGACCCTACAGAATAGATTTGCACTAGAATGGCTATCGGTACTACAGAATTCACCAGGGTTGTGGAGAGTAGATGTCCATCCTCTGCGTATTTCGATAGGACCCTGGGCTTGTAACCTTAGAGTATCTAACTAGTTAGCACATCAAGTGCTGATCAGTTGGACCGTGATCGCCGAGTAGCGCAAATGGAATAGAAGACGCCGTCGCCTGCACTATTGCTGGAATAAAAAGCCACCACATGATGTAGCTGAAAGCAACCGGCCTCTCCCTACCCCCCGCCACCGTAGCATCCAGCCCGAGCAGCACAACAACAAAGACTGCGACCCCGACTGCGAGGAAGGCCGATATCACATGGGCACAGAGAATGACACGACGGCAACTTTGGATGTTCATTGTATGGCGTGAAGCAAGAATGCATATGGTCGTGATGGACTGCCAAAAACTGCCCCGGCTCCAACCACCACTGGACAAACCACAGAAGCGATGCACTGCCGAGGAGTCGGAGGGAGAAGGCTCTGCTCATGCTTCGGGGTAGGTAGGTACTTCAGCTCCCGGTCAACCTGCAAAGGCAAAGGTGTCAATGCCGCAGCTGCACAACCGTGAAAACCTGGCAAGGTCGTGCCAGACTCTAGGGCCGCGAGCTACGAGGAGGCAAGGTCAAGGCAAGGATGATCAGCCTATCTACTTCTTAGTGGCTGGTTCTTGTACTGATGAGCATCGAATGGCAAAGACCTGACGGTAGGCACGGTCTACGGTCGCAAACTCAATGTTCTTGCACTTTGAGTAGATTCCAAGCTTCAGGGCGCTGGTTTGTTCCCCATTCGACTGTATGCTTTGCTCCCTCGCTCTGAGAGGATATGCGATATTCTCACTGGAACGGCGTCTGCATTGGCTGGACGATACCTGGTAGATATTCCTGACATAGCTCTGTTGTTTACTATCCAGAGATGGATTCGGAATATACATACCTTTATTCATAGTCATTATGCCAATTGTTGATTGACTCTTCACTGCGATTAATCATCGGCAGTGTTAGTAAAGGCTTTCTTCCTCCTTGATAGAGTTCACGATCGATACCGTATTCCTCATAGGCATGCGGATTTGGATTTTATTGTTTTATATCACTCAGGTTTATTTAATTCATGTTCTTATCCGGATGAAGCCGCAATGTTGCTCCCCTATGCAGGTGCTTAGGTCGCTTCACCAGCAACGCCAGACATTTTCTGTGGACAATTCATTCGTGGAATTCGCGAATTAGATCCGACCGCGACTCTTTCGGTCTCGCCCGTTACCTACGTGCCGGGTGAGGAGCAACATGTTGATATCGCCCGTGGGATGGTTTGTGGCCAAATCATAGGTAGGTTCCCTCTTCCAACCCTTCATGTGTTGCGCAGTGGATGGGCGATCCCGTCCAAGTGGCTCTACTACCATACCATAGCTTTGCAGATGGTTGGGCCGGAGTAAGGTGTATTGGATGATCCATGTTGTGGGCTCTGCACTATACCTTCTGGATACAAAGAGAACGCGATTCTAACATGCTTCGACAACACCATTAACCAACCTCCGAAGCCTTACTCACTGTCCGATGCCTGGGTTGGAAATCCTGGCAGCTGGCGGCGCATTCTCGAACAAAGAAACAGCAACGCCTCCGACTTAAGCCGATGCAAATGACTCCCTGATGCGCCCGTTACAAGCCCGACTGATTCACAAACGTAATACGAGCTAGAGCGCGATCAGTAGTTTATTGAGTCACTAACAGTCAATCAAACTGCCACTATCCTCGGGGCTGACGATAGCTTCGTAGACAGCAATGAGCCCTCTATTGTACCATTGTGGCTCGGGGTTGCGGCACGCACTCTCAGCTTCCAGGTAAACCAAGCAAGTCCGTCCGATTGAGCGAGCTTTTACACATAAGTCAGTTCCTGACTTTGCCTCCGATAGTTGCGACGGTCATAGGATCAAAGGTTAGGTAACAATCAGTCTAATGGGAACAGCTGAGCAAGAAGAAAAACCATTGTCGTCCGGGTGGCATGCGCCATTCCACGCGCGCAAAAGGACTTCAGCCGCCGCGAAAGCAGTCAACAAAGGTCACGGCAGCCAGTGAAACTATCGCCACTGTGCTATCGATATCTAAAACTGTAGGCCGTGCAAGAGCCCATTTGGACATCGACTTGGCTGATACCGGACATGATGAATCGGTCGAAAGAAAACCCTAGGCGAGGCGCCAAAGCTCTACGTCGGAGCCAGCCAGGCCCCAATCACAGTGAACGCGGCGACTGGACAAAGAAAACAATACTACAACGGCTAGATTGGCGCAGGGCCGTGACTTGCATGGCCAAATGTGGCAATGGCAATCTGCGCACGCAATTTGAGATTCCTTTGTCCACCGCACGGTCGGTCGGTATGCCCAGGCCGACGAAGCCATGAGGATTTTTACTGTCAGGCAGGTTATGATTTGCTATTAAACAAAAAAACAAGCAGACCATATTCCGGTAACGAATCAAAAATTCTGCTTGATGGATGCAACCGTGCATCATCTATCTGGGTGTGTTTGTGACCAGCGCCGGACAATCATGGCAAAACCACGGTACTCAATAGGAGGAGCAATGCTTTGTCGCGATGAGCGAGAGTACTGCTTGTGGGCTGCAATAGGGTCAGATGCTAAGGGATTGATCATGCATAGGTATACCCATGGGAAGCTCGGACACCTGGATGGTCCAGAGGGAAAGGTCAGTTCTTTCAACCCTAGTCTCGGCAAATGGTGCACGTAGGCTGCGCCCGTGTAGCACGGATTTGCGGGCGAACCAGACGGATCATCCGTGGTAATCAGTCGAGAATCAAATTATTTTGTCGGCATATTATCCTTATTCGCCTTGGCTTCGCGTCCGACGTTGGCGTTCGGTGAACTGGCCGGTCCTGAGGTCAGAGTTGGTTGGAAGGCGCAGATGGTCTTTCTCACATTATCCGCGCTTCTCGGAGTCGTAGAAACATACTGATCGTCGTTCCATGTTGCTCTCAGGCTTCCACCCCAGCGATGGCTGGCCGGTCCCTACATGATGCGGTGAAATCATTCTGATTTGCGCCGACCGAACCGCCACCAAAGTCAGCACCAAGCGCAGTTCTTTGTCTGCCTCTTGAGGCCGGCGCAAGCAGCAGTCACGACGCGCTTCGGAAGCGGTCCTTGCTGTAGCCTGTTCCCGATCCCATGTGATTTCCTGATTCTTTGGATGTGGCGGAAGCAATAGTTTGGAATGAACGACTGCAGGTACGGATGGTAAAATTTGCCCAAGATCTGGAACTGCAGCCAACCAAGCGAGATGCAATTGTTCTAAGACATCTCGATTGAACGGGTATCTTCGATGGTGAGGGAAACTTGCTGTGACGGGGATGATAAAATAACGGATATGGCAGCGACGCCTTGACAGTGCATATTACGGGTGGTCGACCCTACCGCTGGAGCGTTGTGCCATCCACATGTGCACGGTCGCAGTGGTTCCCAAGCCAGAATTTATGAGTATCTTGGATAACCCTTCCTTCCACTCCAAGGCCAAGGATGGAGCCAGGGCACGACGTGGTTAGTGGAGTGGATGACATCCACTCTCCGCGTTTCCAGCACATCGCTGCCCCCGTACATGACAGGTGAATTGGTGGCTTTTTTTGCTGTAGATCCAATGGATCCGATGCGCCAGGTCCCTCTCGAGGCCCGATTTGAAGACTAGCGAGGTGCCCCGTAGGTACTAGAACCCCAGAGGTTCCCTCTCCAGTCCCGGACTCGTTGCTATCCTACCTACTATCTTCTCAATCCAACTGCCAGTATGGCCGATGAACGCTTTTCGCTGAAGCTAGCCAGCGACGTTGCCTTCTATCTCGACGAGGCCAAGGTACCTAACCTCCTCTTCGGATGGCTGGCAATGAGCCTGGTCGGCAGCAGGAAAGTGTCCACCGAGGTCGACTTTGTGATCCCGGACAACAAGATGCCCGCTGCCATCAAGACCCTGGCTGAAACAGCCAACTATCCTGTCTGCAAGGACCCCAACTGCAACGAGCTTCACTTCGACCGCGTCCGGGGCTACACCGCGGACCAAAGCCTGGTCCTCAGCCCCAACCGCATCCACTCCGTCGCCGCCGCCCACTTCCACCTCGAGGACGGCACCTTCATCCTCAATTTACACCCCCAGTCCAAGCTTCTCTGGTGGCTGCCAGAGCTTACGACGGCAGCCCCCGCGGCGGAGGATCCGTACCTGATGCTTTCCACCGACCCCCGGCTGCCGCCATTGTCTGTGAAGCCCGCATTGGAAGGCGTCGCCCCGACAGGCGGACCAGGCCCATGCTCCGCGAACCTCTACCACCCCGTGAAGATCCTGAATCCAGGCTCCCTGACAGAGGCGCTGCTGACGCTTCTGTGTCGCGACCGCGCTCGCCAAGCCATGGGGGAGTCAGAAGAGGCGGATCACCTGGCCATGCTGTGGACCCTCATGTCATCGCAGCTCTATGATTCATGTGGGACCAGCATCTCCAAGCACGTTAGGCCCAAGTTCAAGGAGGCCTGGGATGGTCTGAATGAGCGCGATCCCGGAATGACCAATGTCTTCAATGCAGTGCGCGCGCTCCGCGATCGGATGGCTCTGGCGAACGAGCTTGGTCCTCTCGTTGATGGCAGCAAGTACACTCCTCCAGATGACTTTCTCTGAGACCAAAGCCACTCCGTTGATTTGCCATGTCGGAACTTCTTCTTTGTCAATTACCTCCTTGCCCTGTGTGCAGTGTACAATGGTCTCGCTCCGACAGGCCGATTATCTTGTTGAAGCCGCCTACTTGGTTAGACAGAACGGCTTGTCTATTGTGACAACTGGGGTCTTCCTTTGGCGGCCATTGATTGATTGCAGTGGCTTCTTATTGTTCAGTTGGTTGTGTCTTGCGTTGTTCCACTCCTGCCTGCACGTTCGGCTGTGGCTCATGTACTTTGCAATGAGTAACAATGGCCAGCTGGCGATGCTTCGCCCTTTGCTAATACCCTGCTTTCTCATCCACTTGTAAGGCTGTTTCACAAAAGGCGTCCAGCAGCACAGCTAGTCCATCAAATCAAACTCTGTATGTCTACAGCTAATGCACAAATGCGACTGTTGCTTCTTTGTCTGTGCGCGATTTACTCAAACATCATGGAGAAAGGAGGCATAAAGAATGGCCCGCCAGCTGGAGCAGGCCTTTCAGTAATAGAGTTGATGGCTTTCTTGTTGTGTTTGAGCAGCTGATTTCTCTCTGCCCCCAGATGAGGCCATAAATATCTCCTCCGCCCCTCCTGTTCCTGACCTTCTCAAAAGCACCCTTCATCAGCATCGTGCCCTTCCCATCATTCGGAAGACATCCAAGAATACCCCTTCCTCATCCAACCCAGCCGTCAGCCTCATCTCTCCTCGAATCAACCCTACCCCAACAGCGTCCTACGCCTACCTACCGGCCCGACATCCTGCCATCCGCATCGACCCCGATCCAACCAAAATGTCCACCCACCTCCACAGCGCCGCGAGGGATGCAGTCAGCGCCATGGGCACCCTCCCCGGTAACGGTAATATGCGCGTTCTGATTGTCGGAAACCTTTCCACTTGTCACCATCTGAACCGCCCGCCGCCTAACAATGTACGTCAACTCCCGTCCCACCGTCGCGCATCCTACTGAGCTTGAGCTAACCTTCCCTTCGCAGGCGGACGTCGACTTCTTGGTTGACATGGTCAACTTCGACGCCCATGCCCGGGTTCTCTACCCCGGAGGGCCGGCCGAGTATATCCTCCAGATGCTCGTGATGCACAGCGCGCTGTTCGTGCTGAACCCGGTGGCTGGACCAACTTCGGTGACCCACGTCGCAACAGGGACGCTGGTCCAACTTCATGCAGCCCAGGAGGTAAGTCCGACATTGAGCCCTGTCTCTCAACTCCATCACAAGTCCTCCCGCTAACCAGAGCCTCCCCGCCAGCTGCCCTATCTACCGACCGCAGCCAGCCGTCCTTCTACGACCGGCGCCCGTATCTACCCGTCCATCGAAGATTGCATCCTCCTTCGCTTCCTGGCCGCGCCGATTCGCGCGTCACCGCTGGGCAGTAGGCAGGACTATTACGACGTGTGGGCCCTCACCAACAAAAGGCTACAGAATCCGGCCGCGACGCCGCTAACACCCCGGCAGCAAGCGATCGCGCGAGCGGCGCTCCCTCCATTCATGCGATATTCTTTCAATAGCAGCGCATATTGGCGAACCCGCATTGGATTTTGAAGCACACCTTGGATCCACATGGTCGGTCCGGGTGAGAAGGCTAGGTTGCTGTTGTTGCTCGGGATCTGAGAGATTTCTATGCCGTCGTCTTGCGTTCTTGTTGTCCTTCTTTTTGTGTCATTTTGTTGGTTTCGTTTGCTTTCCATTGCTTTCTCTTGCTTCCTTTCCTTCTGTCGTTAGTACCTAATAGATTGCAGTCATTTCCCCTCTTGCGTTCTCTGCCCCAGGCATCACCCTACCGTAGTCTTTGTATACCGTATACAGCGACGGCCCCTGCTCGGCATATGTATGATTGCGCAGCTCCAGCTGCATACGCTGCTGACCTCAGAGGCCATCTAGTTGAGCCTGTAAAGACCTGGTAGGAGGGCATGCACGCCCAGGCTGGAAGTCGCCATCGGCGTCCATCAAGCGACGACGCAATGATGATTTGAGGTACGCAGTACGGTGAGATACCCCGCAGGCCCTCTTACCGGTGGACCAACTGTTAAGAAAAGCAAGCGAAGCAACGAGAGTACTCTGTACGTACGTCGGCGATGCCTGGAGGCCTTAGATCTCAGGCACGTCAGAGCTGAAAGCGGTCTGGTCGATATGCACGTGACACTGCTTCGTGGGATTAGTCAAAGGAGCGGCGAATCAAAACAGCAGAGTGCGCTGAGTCAGAATCTGGCCCCAGGGCTGACTGATTTTGGAATTGCGGCTCTTCGTGCTTTTTCTTCCTTCCACAGACCGGTCACTCAAGATCGTCGCTGTTGGGCTTTGCCGAGCCTACGATCGGTCGCTCCACGGCTTCGGCATCCCCGGTATCACCAGACCCTGACTTGCGCCGGGCCGTCACCGACTCACGCGCGCATCCAGGGCCGACGAACATTGTCCAAGACGCATACCCGCGACGCAATGACGAGCCGGCTCTTCGCTACACAGCGTTTTCGCGTACGAGTCACGAATATATGGGAAGGCGGGGAATGATGCTAGGTAGGCCGGGTTTACGACAGACGGGGAGCTAACGATGTCAGCCAACGCGGGATTGTTGCGGCGTAGGAATCCCTGGCGAGTACAACGGCGGTCCAACGCAGGCGCGGTATTGGGATTCTCGCGTGTTCTAAGAGGATGAGGTGGTTTCGCGACAGCGACAACTGGGATGGCAGGGCGGAGGGTTCTGGGGTCCATTGTGGATTCCAAGTTTGGTCGATTGATATCAGGAGCAGGGATCTGGGAGGCCAACCCGCCTCCAATCTGTATGTCCTCGCCCTTCGACCCGCTCAGCTCTATGCAGGTGGCTCCTCGGGTACTGCAGGTGCTCGGTCATATGTGGACGGCAACGGGCCATCCATTCATGTATCGCAAAGGCGGCGGCAGAGTACTATGGATCTTAGTCGTCCAAGATTTGGCAGGTATAGTCGAACACCCGAGGCTGCATGAGAGAAAGGCTCCAGCTAACCCGATGCTCTCCAGCTTCTATCGCCAAATGCATTCCGAGACTCCCCGCGCCGCCGTTCAGACACGCCAACACATACCACACCTTCTCCGGTCCTTGCACGGCCATCCTTCTGGTAACTATTATCAGCAAGCTCGTACCCGCTACGGGAACGTCGATTCGGGACCACATGATGCCGAGCAGTACCTATATAACATGCGGGCGATGGCTACTCAATACCCGGGACCGCCGACCGTAACCTTGACGCAATCGGGGAGCATCTCTATGAAAGTAGGTATAGCATTCCTGAATTAGGTATCGATCGCTAAATGTCATACTCCTCAAACCGAAAATTCCAGATCGTACTGGCGGAATTATCGAACCCGTACCCCTTGGAGCTCGTCGCCCCAATATGCTGCAACAACGGCGGAACCACAGCCCACCGGCTCCACCCCTCGCCGTCCGCGATCTTCTCGATCATCATATCGACCAGCCAGTCCGTCGTGAGGTCCGTGCGCTCCAGGAACCGCGGTATGATAGCGCGAGGGAAGACAAGACCTTGTGAGCAGCAGCCGTACTTGTTCATCTCGTGCACACCAGGGGCGATCGGCCACATCGTTTGCCGGCCGGCGAGAAAATGGAGGGCGATAGCGGCGGGGATGAACACCGCGGACGTGAGCCAGATGGCGCTCATGGGTATGGATCGGAGCTCGGCTTTGAATGTTCGCTTCGACGCCACCATGGCTCCGGTAATGAGCGCCCAGACGACAAACGACCAGGCGAGATATTTCGGCCATTCTTCGCCGTTCCAGCCAAGCAGGCCGTCGACATAGAAGAGACGCAGGTAGATCCAGTCGCGACCGCTATTCCGAGATTGCACTGTATCGAGCGCGCGCAAGGCAGCCGGGAACCAGCCCTTGACTGCCAGGGTATCGTCCTCAAGCATCGCGACGTACTCAGCGCCGCTGTCATAGCACTCTTTCATAAGGGTCGTAAAGTCGTAGATAGTTTTGTTCCGGTACCATCCACCATCCTCCCATTCCTTTAGCTGTTCGAAATCGGGATCCTCTTGCGAGTAAGTCAACAGCCGATCAGGGAGCGTCTCGACCCATTTCTCTGAATATATGGGGTGGTCCTTTGGGTCTGTATTCCCAATGCGCAGGTAAAGAAGGAGCTTGCTCCGCTCCAACTCGCTCAGCCCTTCCAGCACAGACGCCACTGTCAACCCGACGTATTGTTCGCCCCTCCGCTTGACCGACACGATGCCCATGCAAATCGCGGCTTGTTGCCCGGGCATCCTCGCCGAAGGCGCTATATCGCCAGCTGCGCTAAGGTATGCCTCCGCCTCCGCGACGCGCTTCGCCGAGTATCCCCGCTCGTAGGCGCGGTCCGCGTCGAAGAAGTAGGACGTCGGGTCGCGGTAGCTAACGCCATGATAGTGCCGCAGGGAGAGGAGGTAGAGGACGAGGTAGCCAAGGACAAGAGTGCCGGTCACGGAGAGCGAATATCGGCGGAAGTGAACGCAACGCGAGACGTCGGTCATTCCTGGCGGAGGGCGGGTGTCGTCTGATCGTCGGTCCGGTCGCAAAACGCCGCGTCGGATCGCCGGTGGTCGTTGCTTTCGGGCGGTATAGGCCGTCTAAGACATATATGCGATATGAAGATGCAGTCTATGATGGAATCCGAGAAACTGGTGGAGAGGCGATGGCGAGTGAGATGAAGAGTCGGAGATTCAGGAGTCCAGCGACCTTGGCCGCGGACGAAATCGCGTCACCCGATCGGGCTAGCGTGGCGTTCTCGCGTGCTGACCAATCATCTTCCAGCCCTAAGCGCCTTCCCTCGGAGAGTGCATAAGTGCATGTCGTTACGTTTCATCGCGCACTTGGGGGCCAATGTTTACATCAATGGATAAATATAGCTACGAGAGGAGCGGCCGTGGGCTTGGTTCGCTCCTGACCCCGGCGGGTTGCGAGACATGCCATGCTACTTGGATTGGCCGGTTCGTTGGGGCGACGCCATTAGTGCTTGCCCTTTCTCGATGAGTTGTCCAACAAGCCTGTTTCAGAGTCGTTGATTAGTGACATGCCATGTCTAGGCGCCGTGGTGATAAGCTAGTACTCCCCTGAGATGGTTGTCCTCGGAACCCCGCGCATAGTTCATCTCAGCTCCGGCCCTGCATGCTCGTCCCAACGTCCTCGTCGAGCTCAGCCTCTTGGGTATACACTCATCCGAGAGAACTCTTGCTTATGATGCACAGTCATGCAAATACCATTAGAAGATGTGCCTCGCAAACGCACATCCGCGGAGACTGCCTCCATCGCAAGTACCGCCCCATCCGATCACGACGAGCCCCCTAAAGTCGTCATAACACGATCTATACCGGCAGCACTCAGATCTTGCGCAGTTCACCTCATTCCCATAGCAGTCTCAAGCACGGTAATTGCGTTCAATACAAACGGAGCGTACCTTGGCGCAGACTTGATGTCGCCTTTCAAATCGGAGACAATCAACCTGATGCTCTTCCAACTGGCCGCCAAAGCTCACGAAATAGCAATTGTTGCAAGCCTAAGTGTAATCGTCCTGCACTGCCTTCGACATGAACTTTTATTCGGGGAAGGGCTACCCTTAGGTCTCCTTGGATCAGGCCTTGCTTTCAACCATTTGGAATACTTCTTCTCAAAGGAGTTCTACGGGAGCCTTAAATATGTACACGAGGCGGGAAAGACCCGCAAGTTAGCACTTGTATTGCTTATAATGGTCGCTGGAATGGTGGCTACCTTGGCTGGTCCGGCGAGCGCCACACTCCTCGTTCCCAAGTCGCAAGACTGGAGCGCGGGCGGAACCCAGTTCTACCTGAATGGAACAAACAACCAGTTCTGGCCTGCTGACCTTTCTGGAGACTTGCCTGAACTTCAAGATATCTGCACGGAAGAGAGCTCAACAAATCTTGGTATTTGCCCGGCAGCCGGATACGAATCCCTACGAACCCACTGGGGGACCATGAACAGCAGCACCTTTCAGACCCAGGACGTCCGCTCCTACGCAAAAGAGGTCTCGGGGTCAAAGTTCTACTGGCCTGTCTCGAGCCCCTCGTCACTAATTCCCCCTCTCTACGCCCTCGGGGATATTCAGCAAGCGCCTAACGGGAGGACCTCCTTGACCCAACCGCACGCGGCAACCACGGTCATCCTACAAAGGCTAGCGAAAGACTGGTGGAGCGCTCTCCAAGACCAAAAGGGACTCACAAATAACCAAGTCGACGACCGGACAGCCTCGGCAACATTCAAAAACGCCATCACCGTCGCGCGGTGCAGCGAACCGCAGGAAATCCGCGCTTCAGATACCACCGTCAAGTTTCCCTCTATTCACGGCCGGTTCGACTTTGCCGATGCCCTATCCCTCAACGTTCCCGGTGTAAATAAGACTAGGACGGACCACCTGCGCTTTCAATGGGTTCACCTCCCCGCCAAATTCGGCGCCGCCAGCATTGGCGCCCTCTTCGAAACACCCTGGTCATCGAGATGGACAGATGAACCAAGCAGAGCCGTGCTCGGGTGCACGATTCAAGCAGGCTGGGTCCCAGCGACGGTCTACACAGATAAATATATCTTCTGGACGGGTTGGTATACATGGAACATCCTGTTCGGCGACCGAACACCAGTGTATAATCCTGCTTCTATCGCTCCCACCAACGGCCGCGTTGCATTCGGCGATAAATGGCTTAGTCTCTTGACGCCCCCTGCTCCCATTATAGCATCAAAAACAACATCCTGGCACCCCTCAACAATCGAAAGCATCCTCCACACCGCCGGCGCAACAACACCCCCAGAGACCTGGCTCGCAAGGGACACCGCATCCTGGGAACGCGTCTCACTCGTCGAAGCCATTATCTGCAGCGTTATCCTCGACGGTCTAAGCCGGACAGGAAGTCACCGCGTCTTCAACATATCCAGCGCACCTCCTGAATGGTCAATAGCAAACTACAACCCCCTCCCAGACTTCAACGCCCTCATCCTAGACAACAAACCCGCGCTCCAACCTCCTTCACCAACTGCGAATGCGGACGAGTATATCGCCATTGACGCTCGCATGCAAATCAGCGGCTTCTCCCTCCAAGCCTCGCTAGCGACTTACCTATCCATGACCGTCCTCCTAATCCACATGGTTATGGCGGCGCTGCATACGTTCTACATTGTCATACAAAGACACACGTCTGGTAGCTGGAGCACAGTCGGCGAACTCATTGCTCTGGCTCAGAACTCGCAGCCGGCGTTGAACGCCCTCCCTAATACGGGCGGCGGGATCAAGCGCTCCAGGACATACGCGCAGGTTGCGAGGATCCGCGTCGTTAGCCCCCGAAGTCCGGAATCAACTTCAAGCTCAGACAGTGAGAAACGGATTGAATTGCTCTTTGGCGACTCGTTACCTTGTAAAGATGCGCGAAGTCGCGTGGAACATCCGAATGGCAGCAAACTGCGCCGCTTGCGTGACAGCCGCTTCCTACACCCTGCTACGTGGCCGAGACCGGACACCCATTCTTGCATCCGGGGCCCCGGGGACTGGCCACTCCCGGGTTCCATGGAGAGATTGGTGCCAGGTGGTGCAGAGGATGAGGAAACGGCCGGTGCAGTGACGGCGGTGGCGAAGGTGCTGCTTGATAGGCGGTACGTGTGACTGGTTCGCCTGGACTAGTGGATGTGTAGGATGCATGGGCGGTTTTGCAGAATCGATGCCTGTGATGGATTCTGATGGGATGAGGTTCCTTGTAACGTTTATTAACCCGACAGAAAAGGTGCCTGATTTTGGGAGGTTAGGTGAAGGGCATGGTGTAATACTGTATAGTATACATAGTCTACCAGATCCGCCACGACAACCTGGATACCCAGATAGTAGATTTGCTCTGGCGGGGGACTGGCCAGCTGGGTTCCTGTCTTACTATCTACCAGCGGTCTTGATCTCAATCTATGATGGAAAGAACGCAAGGACCCGGACGTGGACTGCTATGGCATTTGTGCTCCTATGCGGATTTTTCATTGTCTCGCTTTGATAGATCAAAGTACACATTAAAGCCTATCCAAACCTGACAGCATTACTCCCGAGCACGAGTTCCACTCTACCTTTCCTTTTCTGCATCATCAGGACATACCCAATCTTATCACGGAGCCGAATCCCCTGTTAAGAATCAAGTATAGACTGGCTTGTAGTAGCTGGCGATGTCTCGGGCCTGCTGTTGGTCACCGACCATGGGGCCATCCTTCATCGGTTTGTATCAGTAGCACTTACGGACGGCGTACCCTGCGCGGCCCTTGCACGAGTAGAAGGGTCGCCCCTAGTTGTACTGCTCGGCACATCGACGCCAGGACTCGCGGCACCTTCCAACTTGTCTGGGATCAGTGGAGTGGGGGTTAATTGAGCTCGTGCCCACGGGGATAATTTCACCTCTGGTGTTGGATCCTGCAGGAACCCATTCCCCTCTTGCGTGACGAGATGGAACGACTGGATGCATTGCACTTGAGCATCAGTCCCTGCCCGTGCACCGGTAGGCAAGATCGACCCATGGACCCATCCCAAAGCAATAACATTCTACATCCGCCTATCCAAGCTGCTGAGTCTGAGCCTCACGGTCTGGAACTCGGCCTCGGCCTGCGCCGGCGTTTGATTCGTCGCGTCCCACGCATCCCAGTGCTCTTTCGTTCCTCGAAACGATACATCCGGGTGGTTGTCTCGCAGGTTCTCGACCGTCTCCAACGCGGCGTCCGATCTCTCTTGCAGGTAGATGATGTGCTTTGAGATATTGCGCAGCCCCGTCAACGACTCGCGGTCGATGTGCGTCCCCAATGCTTTCTAATGGATTGGTTATCATTATGATTTCGCAAGGCAAAATATTGGAGGTGGACGGACATGCTCGACAGCCCCAAACACAGGCGACAGATCCCACGCCGTCTCGCCCATCCGCGCAGAAAGCTGATGCAGAATCACCGCGAGACGATTCAGAGGGTCATGCACGACGCCCTCTCTGATACCCTCGCACGAAAGCCATTGAAGACGATTGATGAGCATCTCCGCCCCGAACGTGATGAGCGTCACGTCATGCCCTGATCCCGCCTTACCCGGCCACCGTATGAAGCATCCAGCCCTGGCCCACGAGTAGTCACCCTGTCTGGTTTGCTGGTCTAGTCTGGGGTAGAAAGCTGTTTTTGTTGGCAATACCATATTATTGAATCATCATCCTAGACTGCTACTGACCATCATACCCTACCAAATTCCAGCGAACCATGGTCTCAAAGGGCGTTGACGGGCTGGAAAGCACAGGCAACGGTATTTGATAGGGCTGGCTTGGTTGCTGTTCTTTTGTTCTTGATTTAATAAATTGATTGGAGTTCCTTGTCACCAGAATAGTAGCTCGTTGTAGTGTTGGGGTTCCAAAGATGATACACACCCTCTCCGCTTTACATCTGCGAGCAAATAAGATATAAATTTCGTATTGCATACATACCTCGGACTCTTTGGGGGAGCTCAACAGCTTCTAGTACCAACAGATATTGGTATAGTGTACTTCAGGGCTATAACCGTGAGGGCAATCAGGTCAGTATTCTGGTCAGATCTAGAAGGAGGCATCCACGGAGGTTTGGGTCTTTGTTCGCTTGGCAGAGATGGCCACATGGTTCTCATTCACTACGGATCTAATTCGAGTGTACTTTGTTTCAAGGCTATGATGGAACCAACAATGAGCTTGCCCTCCATCCAGAATCTGATTCTGAATTGACATGGAAACTGTGTTCGAGGTTATAATGAACACTCACCATCACAATAGTATGTTGCATACATTCACTTTTCTACTATCCGTCCCAACTACCCATCACCTAGAATAATCTACCACAGCGCAACATGTCCAATGCAAGCTCCAAGCCCCCCAGCTACAGAGAGGTAGAGAATGACGGCCCACCTCCCTTCAGCATCTTCGACGAAAGCCGAAGCTACACCATACCAACCCCCTGGCAGCCCCCAGAGCAACCCCTGACCTCCACCAAGCTCAACGACGCAACGCTCCCCCTCTTCGACGCAATCCAAGGCATCAACCTAACCGCCATCACCACCATCCTCAACTCCCGCACCGCCGGCGCCCCCATAAACCTCGAAGCGCGCGGCTTCGAGGACCTCACCCCGCTCGAGCTAGCAGTCCACCTCAACAAGCCGCGCACCGTGCAACTCCTCCTCCACGCCGGCTCAAACCCCTACCCCCGCCCCGTCGGCCCGATCTACCCCACAAGCACAGGCCTCACCTACGACGGGTCCCTCCTCCGCCTCGCCATCCGCCAGGGCTGGACCGAGCTCGCCGAAACCCTAATCACCCACAGCGAGGGCCTCGTCGACGTGAACGAGAACGACCCGCGGCGCGCAAACTCCAGCCCCCTCGCCACAGCAATCACCGGCGCAGGCGTCCACCCGCCGCGCATCACCCTCGCCCTCGTCGCCCTGCTGCTCAAGCACGGCGCGGACCCAAACCTCCTCCTATTCGGCAACATGACGGCGCTGGGCTGCGCGGTGTCCTGCGCCATGGGCCAGAGCATGCGCAGCGCAATCGCCAAGGGGACGGCGGAGGACGACACACGGGGCGACATCGTGCGCAAGCTGATCGCCGCGGATGCGCACGTCAACGCGCCCGCGACAAACCCGCCCCTGCACTCGGCGATCAGCTCGATCTTCGACACGCGCGCCGTGCTCGACATGCTGCTGCGCAAGCCCATGATCGACGTGAACTACACGGGGATCAACGCGGGGAACGGGCCGATCGAGCGCCCGGCGACTGCGCTCGTGCACGCGATGCAGATTGGCCGGTGGGATGTTGCGGCGATGCTGCTTGAGCGGCGGGGGGACCTCGATGTGAACGAGGGGAATCCGTTGGCGATTGCGATTGAGAAGGGGCAGATTGTGCTGGTGAATCACCTGATGGAGAATACGGGGGGGCGGTTGAGTGGGACGTCGTATCGGGTTGCGCTTGAGGCTGCGATACAGAGGAAGAAGGGGGTGACGGGGAATGTGATGGTGCATGCGATGCTTCGGGAGTGGATTACTCGTGCGACGGAGGGGAGTCGCGGTGGGAAGTTGGAGCAGGAGCTGGACCGCTTGAAGGTGCTTGCGAGGGAGGTTGGCAATCAGGTGGCGTGTAGCTATGTGAGGTATTGGATATGGAAGTGTTTTAAGTAGGCTGGCCTTGTTCTCTTGTTGTCTGTTTATGTAGAGAATGCGCAGATAGCTTTCCTTCTCGTGTATATTTAGTGAGATGAACCCGTATTATGTCTGTTGTCCTGGCATATACGTTGTACCTGAGTCCCTTATGTTAGTCTGGGAAGGTTGTTACTCAGAGGTCCAGTCCCTCAAGGCCTTCTAAGGTTTGGCTTTGCATATTTCCTTCTGGCCCTGTGGTCATGGAAATACTGGATCGTGTCTTGCTTAGACGGAACATTGGAAGGGATAAACAGCATAGACGGAAAGAAACACACTCGCTTCTTGCCTCTCTGCCCGCCTATCATGGCCGACTGCATTCAAGAGCACAAAGACTGCTATACACATGCTCGCATGGCGTTTGCCCGCTACTGGGAATGCGTATGGGATTGCGGGACGGATGAGGTGCGCGGCCGGGAAGGAAGGGGAGCGGGAGACGTGCATTCAGACGGTTTACGAGGCGGCTGTTTCGTTTGGGGAGAGGATGGGGAGGGAATTGGGCTTGGTTCTGAGGAGCGGTGGGAGGGGGTGTCTGCTGTTGAGCATGATGAGGATTGTGTGTGAGAGTGTTGGAGTGTTGCGTTGGGGATGAAGATGGACGGGAGAGATATCCCTGCTGGTTATTACATTTAGCGACACCCAGCCTTAGCAATGAAGCAGTCTTCGGACAGTATGGGCATTATGCTCCTCAAGCGTGATATAACCTCTCCAGGGCGCTTCATAGGGCTTGTCTGACTGGGCCTGTGGACGCAGAGTCGCAGACAGAACTGCCGTTCCAAACGCCAACGAACCATTCCAACCACGAGCAAGCAGGCTGCGAAGGAGAGCAGGAAGGTTTGACCCTTTGCGCGATCTCTGATCGGCAAAGTTTATTCAAAAATCAACAATCTTCCGCTGTCAACAGCGGCCATGGGACCTTCTACTATTGTTCTTTGGTGCTTCCACCATCGCGCCAAATCATTGTTTGAAAGCCTCATTGCCGCATCATGCGCAGAGCCATGCTCATCTCGTGGTGGAAGCATCCTGCCACCTGGCAATTTCAGTGGAGGCTGTGCTGAATACGATACAATGTCTTGAACCATGGGCTGTGGCAGATGTGCCAGGGCCAGGAAAATACGAGAGCTGGTGTATTGATCCTATTGAGGTGGTCAATAGACTCATGGCCAGCCATTGTCTGGGCTAGTTCCTGGTACTAGTGCAGGCATGCAGTGAGTTGATCCTCAACATGGCAAAGGACAGTTGCAGCAGTTCATGCAGGACAGGTTCGGCCCTACACAGTATACGGAGTCTCGAGCTATGGAGGTATGGAGTCAGAAACAGGCTTCATCCACACTGTTCCAAGGTTGGGTCCTTCCTTTTTCCTTCTCTTTGTTGCTTTTTGCTTTCCTCCTGCCCCGTCTTCTCCCTCGCTTTTTTTGCCCTTTTCCTCTTTTCTTCTTGCTTTTCTGGTTTTTCTTTTATCTTTTTTCTGTTCCGCTGCCAACGGCCTGGGACAATGAGTGCCACCGTAGTCTCCCCACCAACGGTAGTAGCTGGGGAAATGCCATGCTGGACGGCCCAATACCCGAACTATATTCAGGACTGAGATACAGCGGAACAATGTCTGTCACATGTAAAAATCGGCTGTTGGACTGGAGTTGCCCTAGGCCCTGCCTTTCAGGGTAGTTACTTGGTTCTGCTAGCTAGTACTGCTTTCCCGTCAAGGGAATCATAAATGCCGGTGTACCTTCTCGAGTCCATTCTTCAGCAATCCTACCAGAAATCTCGAGTCTCCTCCACGATCATGGATCCCGAACGTGTTTCCAGGAAACTAGCAACCGATGTCGCCTTCTACCTGGACGAAGCCAACATCGCCAATGTTCTCTTTGGATGGCAGGGGCTGATACTGGTTGGCAACCGCATGGTTGACGGTGAGGTTGACTTTGTGATCCCTGACGCTCAGATGCCCACTGCCATTAAAGCCCTAGAGTCAGTTGGATACCTGCGCTGTAACGAGCCTGACTGCGTGGAGCTGAATTCCGACCGCATGGGCCCGGATGAACAGAACGGATATCTGGTCATCAAACGAAACCGCTGCCATCGTGTTGCTGCAGCGCATTTCCACTTTGAAGCAAAGCAGTACCTCCTATCCCTGCACCTCCAGTCCTCCCTGCTCTGGTGGCTGTCCGAGTTGACAACTGCCAACGGGCCACCTGCGGCCGTGCTGGAAGTGGGTGCCTGAGGCCACCGGAGGCCTTAGGGCTCCGGTGGAGGAAGGTTCTTCCAGTCTAAATAGCCACCTATAAAACTCTTTATTTATTCCTAAAATATTTAAAAAAGTACACCAAGTAATACAAGAAACTTTTATATATAATAATTATTTATTTTTTTTAGTAGGTTATAAGCCTGGGTTTGCTTAACTTATACACCTAACTAAAAGTCTTTTTTTTTAAGTTAACCTATACTAACTAAATATATAGCATTTCCTTATTTTACTATTTAGCTTTATTATTTTTAACTTTATTAATTATTATAATAATTAAAAAGCCTTATGCTTAGGGCAAGGCCTTTATTATAAAAATATAAATATTATAACTTTATTTTTTTTACCTTAAATTTTTTATTTTTATTTTTACCTTTTTAATTAGCTTTTAATTTTATAAACACCTGCTTCCCAGGGCCACACGTATTTAATTTTTTAATAAAAATAAGTTTTTTTTAGTAGCTAAAAAGTTTTAAAACCTTTAAAGGTAGTATAACACCTTTAAATTTCCTAATTTAAACTTAAATTTTAACTATTTTTTAAAAATTTAAATTAATTTTTAAATAATTAACTAGTTATTTTTAATTATTAATTTTCCTTTTTCTTTATAACTATCCTAGTATAGGCTTTAGCCTATTTAACCTTAATTTTATTATAATAACTTTTTAGGGCTTACCTTCCTTTAGTTCCTAATCTTATTTTTTAAGTATTTTAATTCCTGGTATATAAACTACTCCTATTTTTTTATTATTAATTTTTTTATATCTAGTTTTTTTATACTAAACTAAAATAAAAAAAATAACCTTAATTAAAGTAAAGAATATCCTGGTTTTAATATTAAAAAATTAATAGGTTAAATAAAACTAGCAGGTATTTTTAAAGCTTTAAAAAGCTAGCTATAGCCACCTTTTAAAATAGCTAAATTAAAAACGCCCCGTGAAAACCCTTACTAGTTTTTTTTTTATTATACTAGCTTTAATAAGTAAAAATACTAAGACTTTTAACTAATAATTTATTATAAGCCAAGCTAAAAATATAAGTATTAATAGCAGAGTTTTAATTACTACTATGCCTTTTATATAGCCTTTTACTTAGCTTATTATTAAGGCTATTATTAAGCCTACGCCCCCGGTAAATTATAATAAGGCTAAAATTTAATAGTAAAATTAAAACCATGCCATGGCCTTAATTTTTAGTTATTTAAATTTTAATTTATAAAATCTTTTTATTAATAAGTAAATAGTGTATAAGCTACTTAATAAGATTAAAAACCACCTTAAACTTAATATTAATATTATAATTTTTAAGGCCTAGGCTAACTTAACATCCCTATTTTATAATAAAAGTATTCCTAATTTTAGTAAGAAGCTTAGGGAGATTTAGTAAGAATTTATATATATTAATATTACTTTTTTAGCTAAGCTTACTATTACTACCTTTTACTAAGCCCTGGGTAATTAATTTAATTACCTTAAAATTATATACTTTAATAATTATATTATTAAATACCTCCCGGGGGATACTATTATATTAATTACTTTTTTAAATAATTTTATTATTATTATTAAATTTATTAAATTAAACTAGAACTAGGGCACCGGCACCCTAGCACTTTTTTTTAATAAAATATTTAAGCTTAATATTAAATATTATAAAAATTATCTTAATATTATTTAAATATATAAAAATAAGGGTATTATAAATATTACTACATGTTATTATTCTTATTATAACATGCTTTTTTATAATTAAAAAACCTATTATTAACTTTATTTTAAACTTAAAATTACTTAAAAAAACTCCTGGGAAGGCAAGGGCGCTAAGTACCCTTAAAAAAACTTTAAATTTAAAAAAAATATAAAGCTTATACTTAAGCTAGTGCTTATAGCTTAAATTAACTTAAATTTTAAGTAAAAAATTATTTAAAATAGCCTTATTTAATAAATTACCTTAAATAGTAACTATGCATAATATATTATTTATAATTACTTTTTATTTTAGGACCTTAAGCCCTATACTAGCCCTAGTATTAAGGGTATTAGCCCTAAAGTTTTTAGCACCCAGGGTATTAATATTATTAAAATCCTTTATTATATTAATAACTAGCTTAAGATTTTAGCTTTAAATAATATTTTATATTACCTTAATATATTTTTTATATTAATTTTTATTTTTTAGTTATTAAATAAGTGTTGCTTAGTTAGTTTTAGCTAGTAAAATATAAAAGCTAAAAAGCTATAAAATACTAATATTATTACTTTATATAACTATAAATTAGCTTAATACATGGCTACTAAAGTTTATAAAATATTTTTTTTTAACCTTTACTAGGGCCTAGTAATACTAGCTATCCTAATATTAATAACCTTTATTTTTTAAAATAAATTTTCCTAGCTTTAATACTAATAAATAAGCTATATTTTTAAAAATTAGCTTAATAAAATAAAAAAGGTAATTTATAACATGTATATACCTAAGGGCTATATTTATAAATTTTATATTATTATATACTAGGAGGCTAAGCTTTATAAAAGTATTATAATATTTATTAATTAATTATTTAAATTACTTTATATAAATATTTCCGGCCTGTATTTACTTTTATTTAATAAAAAGGTATATATTAGCTTTATTATAAATAATAAATCCTGCTATTACTAGGTTATAATATTAGCTAGTAAAAATAAATTTATTACCTAGGCTTTTTTTATTATTTATTAATATAACACGCCTAAACTCCTACTACACCGCGTATATTATAATTAAGGGGGGGAGAATATTTATAACCTATAATACCTTATTTATAGCTTTAAAGCTATTATAAAAACCTTTAGTATAAACTAGTGTAGTGGGGTTGCACCCCAACATTAATTCCTGTAGTACTTATAGCCTTACTACCTGCCTTTTATATTTAGTTTATTATTTACCCTAATATATATATATTTTTTTTTTACTATTATTCCTACTTGTACTATATACTGTCTAGTTTTTAGTTTTTATTATTATTTAGCTTTTTTTATTTTTATGCTTTAGTACTACCCCTTTATATATTAATAATTAACATAGGGCATGTTTTTTTAATATTATAAAAGTAAAAAGGGCGCCCGCTAAACCCCTAAATTAAGGGTTTTTAATATTAGTAACTATGCCTTGGTAACTTAGGCACCTAAAATTATTAAAAAAAGGGGTAAAAAATTATTAAGGTTTAAAAATTAAAAAAAATTAAATAGTAAGTATAAATTAAAGCTAGTAAGTAAGGTAGGTAAGCCATGTATAAAGCACCCTAGTAATTTTTAAGAAAGTAATAAACTAAAAAATCTTAAAAAATATTAATTACTTAATAAATATAATAAATTAGCTAGTAAAATTAGTAAATTTAGTATAAATATAGCTAGTAAATTTAAAGTAAAGTTCCCAGGGGTTTACTTAGGCAGTTATACTAAGTGCCTAATAATAAAGTAAAAATATTTTATAAGTCTTTTTTTATAGTTATAAAGTTTAGTTTTTTATTAAGTATTTGCAAACCTAGCCCTTTAAAAAACTATTTAAAATTTTTAATATATATAAGTTTACTACCTACTTATTAACTTTTATTATTAAGCTAAAATATCCCATGTATTTAAGTTTTTAAGTAAAAATAGTAGTAAAAATGTTAAGTAAATGTCAGGGCCAACGTTTTTCCATTTAATGTTACTGGAGCCAATCCACTGTTGGTCTGGAGTTAGCACCTTAGGTAACTTAAGCTTTAGCCTTAGGCCGCCAAGGCTTAGTATATTTTATTATTATATTAGGTTATATAACTTAACTAAGGTATTAGTATTTAAAATTTTAGCTATTAATTAGGCAAGGCTAGGGTAGGCCCTAAATATAAGCTAAAATAAAAATTTATATATAAAATATTTAAATTTATATTTATTTTTTAATTAAAAATAGCTTAAGTATAGCTTAAAGGTTTATAAAAATAATTTTAAGGCTAGCCTTTTTTTTAAATTTTTAAGTAACTTTTTTAATATTATTTAATAAGGTTTAAAATACTTTATTTTTATTAATTAAATTTTTTTATTAATATTTTTATTATTAATAAAGATTTTTAAAACTTATTAATTTTATAGTTAAAGTTGCTTTTACTTACTATTTTTTAAACTTTTTTAATAATAGTATTTTAAACTAAATTTTTAAAGGGTAAGCAAAGGTGGTTTATAAGTATTTTAGTTAAGGTTTTTAAAACCTAGACTTAAATAATTAAAAAAGTATTGACGGCCGACGTAGGCGAAGCGTCCAATAGGAGAAGTCTGGTATATTGAGAGGTTTGCCTTAATTAGCGGGAGAAAACTCTGTGGGCCACGTGACGCGCTAGTCTTAATCTGGTATAATAGTGCCTTAGGCACCCCCCGTGCTAACACACCCCCTGACTAGCGTGGTTAAGTAGTTACTATTTATATAATATATATATAAAACTAAAAACCTAAAAAAATAAATAAACTTTTAAGCTTTTACCATCCCAGGTGCAGTATAGTCTTTTATTAACTAGTTTAAAATTATACACTGCACCTCTTATACTTTCCCATATTTTTAAAATATGTTTTTATCCCAAGTAATTAGTAATCCCTTTTTTAATAAGTAATCTAACTAATTAAAAGCTCTTCACGCTAACATAGCTATTCTTTTAAAAAGCTTTAATTAGCTATTATTCTTGCTTTTATTTTTTAATACCTAGATTTTATAGCATAATATTTATTTCTTAGGCCGTAGGTTAGGCTGTAGGTAAAAATAACCATAAGTTATATATTTCCTATAGCCATAATAAGCATAATAATTACTAGTATTAGTTTAAGGCTTTATCCTACGTATTTTATTAATATAATTTTTATTAAAAATACCCTCCCCTGGACCCTTAAGCACTAATACAGGGATATTTAAACCTTTATTAAGCTTATTAACTAAAGTAGCTAATAAAATTTTTTATATTTTTTTATTTA